GAAAATTATGCATGAGAGTGTGTGTAGCATCTCACGCTGGCCAGGGGATGCTCTGATGGGACACAGGGCTCTGGAAGAAATAGTAAGAAGCAGGGTTTAGGGGACTTTGCCAAGAAGGGACATTGAATGCTGGACTAAGGAGCTAGGGTCTTGGTCATCTAAGCCCTGGGGAGACATTGCATGCTGTGGTGTTATCAGTTCTTTGTATTCATTTTAGAAAGAACACTTTCTCAGGCTGCTGGAAGAGGACGGTGTCTAGGGGAGTGGATCGGGTCTGGATGCCAGGTGCTGAGCCTCAGCAGGGTAAAGGCGAGGGTAGAGCTGTAGGGAAAGTCGGGAGGGCACTCCAGAAACTGTACCCAACTGGAGGCCCCTTCATGTGGTAAGCCAAGGTTCCGAGGCTGAAATCTTCTGGCTGCCAGTCACTGAAGCCAGGGTTATGCTCTGTGTCTCGGAGACACAGGTACCCATCTCCCTGTCTGGAGAATAACATGCCAGGCTCTAGTCTTTCGTCTTTAGGGCTCTTGCTCTGCTAAGAGCACACTGCTCTGAATCCTAACAGATTCACAGCCTTTGTTGTGGTGTTTACATTGGCTGACATCCGTATGGGGGTGCTCTGGAGTCATTCTGTCCTCACCTGCCACTGCCTGTCCTCTTTGGCTGGGAAGTGATAGGGAAGTACACTTTCATGACTGAGTCCAAGTGGCCTGTGGTCAGGCCTGGGGCAGCTCTGGGCTCTGTCCTCCAGCCCTAAGTCCCAGCCCCTACCCACTGCCACCCTTTGGCCTCTGGACCCCCCAGTCTGGCCAAGAGGTGACCATCTGACCAGCCCTACCCACCCCTCCTTTAGCTCAGCAGCTGCAGCTTTCTGGGGTCCAGATGGCAACAAAGTAACAGACAAAGGCTCAGATTGTCTGAGTCCCCACCCGCTCTGGGCTCCTGCCTCCACCCCGAACACTTTTGTTCTATTCTCCTCTCCTTTCCAAGGGAAAATTCAGAGTCTCTTCTCAGTCCCTGCCCTTCTCTAGTGTGACCCCAGGGCCTAGAAGGCCACTGGGCAAGTTAGCAGGTATGTACCTTTGTTCAGCCCTGGGCCCTCTCCCAAGAAAACTAAGCCTTGGGCAGGATAGAGCCCACCGGCCTCTGGCTGAGCTGAGGTACTTTGCAGGGTTCTGGGACGGAGGTGCCTGGGAGAAGCGTACCTTGGGGGAAGCCCTCCAGACTTTCAGTGAAGGGGAGGGAGGGGCAGAAGGAAGGCTGCCTCCCAGCCGCTCCAGGAGGCAAGTGTCTGGGAGGTTTGGCTCAAGATCTTCGGCTTGGCATGACTTCAGAAAGGTGACGGAGGCACACTAAACTCCTTTCAAGAATAAATCTTCCCTGTGCGAAGCCTGAGCTGGAGTGGGGAGAGGCAGGAAGCTTAGTGGACACATGGTGGGCTCTGGGAGCAGGTGACTCTGACTCTGGGCAGTGGGCTTGCCCCAGCTCCACTCTCAAATGGGGTAAGCATGGCATCCGCTCAGCGGGTTGTGGGGAGTAAATGAGTTGGTGCAGATAAAGTGCACAACCTAGTCTAACCTATTAACACCTCAAGTGCTTAATAAATGGTGGCACTGAAAAATAAGGTAGTCGCTCACAGCAGGCTTAGTGTGAGGATTAGCTTTGAGCAAGTGTGCGATCCTAGGCACACCCCGGGGAAGGGAGGGCTACAGGGGAGGGGGCGCTCCTTGAGACTGATTGCACCAGGGGCACAGCTGCTTCAGGCCTATCCTCCAGCTTTTCCTTGCTTGTGTCACATTCATAACCAATGCATGCCACAGTCTGCAGGTAAGAAGTTCTCATCTACCCCAAGGGGATGCCATGATGTCCATTTACCCCCATTTAACAGACAAGGAGCCTGAGGCCCTGCTCTGAGAAATGCTTTGCTCAAGGTAGCTTTGCTATAATAGAGGGCCTGCTGGCTTTAGGGTGCTGTGGGCATAGCTGTGAGCCATTGTGCAGGTGCCCCAAGTTTCCTAGCCCACCCCAGGCCTCTTGCAGTTTTAGTTACTCAACAAACATTTAGTGTCACTGCCCTGTTTAACTGTGTGTTGGGATCTAGGGGCATGGAGATGAATCAGGTGCATCCATGCCCTAGAAGGGCTCCCAGCCTTGAGGAGATGTGAGCGTGGCTAAAAGTAAGGGACGACTGGCAAGTGTGATGGTGGTAAAGTATCGTGGAAGTCTAGGGCAGGGGACAAGTTCCTGATGCTTTGGGGCACGTCCCATGCCCCCCAGCCCACCAGTAGCAAGTGTCCTGGGTTGGGAATCTGTGATTTTAAAAGTTGGGAGTGGCAGCCTGCTTCATTTGAGACCCAAGTGGTGGCGCTCAGGCTGCTGTGTCAGCACCTAGCACCTGCCTCTCCAGATCAAGGGAAACCTTTCTGCAAAAAGAGGGAGGACCTTGGGTAATCAGTGACATGGGTTGAATCCTAATTAGCCCTGATAACTCCCTTCCACACTCCTACTTGTATCACGTATCCATATCCAGATCTCTGTGTAACATGTACGTGGAATTCACACCACATCCTGCCTTCCAAATTCCGAACTGCTGAGCCATTGCCCACCTTTCTGCCCAATCTCATTAGAAACTTACTTCCTACAGCAAGAGGGCCACGCTCTCCACTCTTATTTTAGTTTTATAGGCTTTGTCACGAGTAAACCCCCAACCTTGTAACTAGAACCCCTCTTTGAACAGACCTGGAAACCCCTTTTCATAGAATTACCACACAAAAGGCTTTTATAGCCCAGGCACTCCTGTTGACTTCCGTTGAGTCTGAATCCCTCAACTCTGTTAAGCTGCATCCTTTGATTGCCTGGGACCTGTGCCTATGCAATTTTCTCCATCTCTTCCACAGTTCAAGCTTCATCCACAGTTCTGGGGAGGTACAATTTAAGATTTCACTTCCCTGACCCCCGGGAGCAGGTTTCTGATAATCAGGATTTGCCTATCAGTTTATCTGTACTCTTGGTTTTTTAATTTTAATTTAATTTAATTTGTATTGTTTTAAATTTCAGATTAATAAAAGGGTACAAAAAACAAGGGAGGATTCTGGGAGGATACATAGGATACATAGGGATTCAGTAAGTGAAAAGGAAGGAAAAGGCATAAAAGGTAGCATGTGCAAAGGCACTGAGGCAGATGCACTGTGGTAACTCTGCAGGACCATGGAGTGAATGTGTGTGTGTATGTTTGTGTGTGTGTGTGTGTGTGTGTGTGTGTGTATGAGAGAGAGAGAGAGGGAGGTAGGGAGGGAGAGAGATGGGGAAATTGAAGCCTAGTGAGAGATGAGGCAGGAGAGGCTGTATCTCAAAGGGGCCTTGTATGTCAAGGTAAGGAGTTTGGATTTTATCGCAATATCCATGGGGAGCTATTGAAAGGGGTTTTAAGAAGGGGAGCACCATGATCAGATATGTGTGTTAGGAGGATCTCCCTGGCTGCCTTGTGGAAAATGAAGTGGAGGGTCTGAAGCTGGAGGCAGAGAGATCAGTCAGGATTTCTTGTGATTTTTCTCTGTGGTTTTACAAATCTGAGAAGGCTGGGGCTGGGGTGGGCCTGTCCGACACAGAAGCTTAATAAATAAAACCTCTGGAGCCCTGTCTGAAATGGCTTTCCGGCTCAGAGTTTAATTCCACCTCCATTTGCTGATTACTGAGCCTACCACCCCCACCACAGCCTAAATGACCAGCTGACCTGTATTTCTAGATCTCTGTCCTCCCTAGAGAGCTCAGAACCTGGCAGCCCTCAACATTTAATCAGAGAGGGTCGTGCTGGTTTTTGTCTTGAGCTTCTGACCCCCACCCAGGGACCTGCCATGCCAGACCCCTGAGCCCAAACATTGTCTTTCTGCTCACACCAGCTGTCTGTCCCCAACACACAGAGCAGCCATTGAGTGTCTGCACAGGCCTGGCCAGGGTCCCAGGCCAAGTTAGTTATGGGCAGTGGCTTAGTCACGCTTCTAGGGGTCTTTTTCTTCTGGGACAAGCCTGCCCTTGTGCTTGAGTCTTCTCTCACACAGCAGCCCAGCTCATGGCAGCTGCAGAGCCCTCTGCCAACCCCCTAATCGTGCACTTCACAGGCGCCGCCATTGGGAACCCAGGCCCAGAGGGAAAGCTGAGCCCTGGGGCGTGGAAGGGCCTGGGGAAGGCTGCTTAGGGTGCCTTCCGCCTCCTCTGCAGCAGCCTCGGCTTGCAGCTACACAGCCCGGGCACTCTTCTGCCTTTGGCCTTGAGTTCAGGAGGCCTGGGAAGACTATGTTAACACCTCCCTTTCTCATGCCCCTCCTGTGTGAAAGCTGGAGACCACCCTCTGCAGAAGCTCCTTCTAGAATGTGGCTCCCTATCCCAGTGTATCCCTGGGAGTTAGCAGATTGCCGGCATGTATCGAGCACCTGCTGTGTACTCCTGCCTGGGCTAGGTGCACTTAGAAGGAGAGGTGTCTCACTACAGCTGGGCCAGGAGTAGCTGAGAGTACAGGTGCCAAATACAGACTGTTGAAAACCTTGGCTCTTCTTTTTACCAACTGTACGACTTGAAATTTATTTGGCTCCTGTAGCCACAGTTTCTTCCTCTGTAAGAAGGGGATATTATGGTCTTTGCTTCATTGGTTGGTGTGAAAGTTAAATGACAAAATATATAAAGTGTTTAACTGAGAGCCTGGCAGGTGGTAAGTACAGGGCTGCTTCTCTCTCCTCTTCTTGTTGCTGTTACTGTCATCATTGGGCACTGCTCCTCAAAGGCAGCTGTTATCCCCATTTTACAGATTAGGAAGCCGAGGCTCAATGAGGTTAAGCACTCTGCCCATGTGTTACAGCCAGCCCATGGCAGAGCTGGGATTTGTCCAGTCCTACCACAACATAGATGGCCCCTTTAGTAAATCAATCATGGGGTTGAGGGAAATCCTGGATAGGGGTGGTGGACGCCCCTCCCCATTAAATTTAAGTGCTCTTTCTCCACCTTTTCAGATTTCTGAGGCAAGAGATGAGGGTCAATAAAGCCCAGGGATGGAGAAGCCTATGACATCTGACCAGAAGCTGCCACTGCAGGGCGCAGTGGCTACTGGAGATGAGTGATGCTGCCACCTGAGCACTGCTGGAAACAGCAGGAGCAGTGACCACAGGAGAACATAGGCAGGTGCCAAGACTCAGAATGCAGGGATGATGGCTCTAGAGGCTCCGGCCTTCCTCCCACCCGGGCGCTAGGAGCCATTCCCGGGCTCCACCTGGGAGCCCTGCTGCCCAGGGGCATGGCCAAACCTTTCTTCCGACTCCAGAAGTTTCTCCGCAGAACGCAATTCCTGCTGTTCTTCCTCACGGCTGCCTACTTGATGACCGGCAGCCTACTGCTGCTGCAGCGGGCCCGAGTGGCCCTCCCCCAGGGCCCCCGGGCATCTGGCCCCCTGCAGACCTTGCCAGTGGCTGCTGTGGCGCTGGGTGTGGGCTTGCTGGACAGCAGAGCCCTGCACGACCCCCGCGTCAGCCCAGAGCTGCTGCTTGGCGTGGACATGCTACAGAAACCCATGGCCCAGACCAGGCCTGGCCCTCGCTGGCTCCGGAGCCGCAACTCAGAGCTGCGCCAGCTGCGGCGCCGCTGGTTTCACCACTTCATGACTGACTCCCCGGGCCCACCCATGGTCCTTGAGGTGCCCCCCAGGCCAGTTACCCGCAGCCGAGGTAGGTATTCAAGCTGCACATTTGGGAGCTGCTCCCATGTGCCCTGCTCAGGGTCATGAGTTTGGTGTCCCCATTCTCTCTGGCCCTGCAGGGCCATGGCCATCACAGATTGTCTCTTCCCTTCTCCTCTGCAGGAGATAGGAAGGGCCTGTGAGGTGAAGTGCATTGGAGTTTTGCTCACTCACCAGCTAGAATTCTACCTGGCTCAAGGCCAAGATGTGCAAGCAGGTCACTTAGCGTTCGGCTGTGGGTTTAGAAAGACCTCACCTTGAGTGCTGCTCAGCCACTGCCTTGCTGGGTGACCTTGCACATGCCACTTAGTTTCCCTAGGTTCCTCTCAAATGAATGGAGAGACACCCATAACCCCAGAGTTATTATGAGGGTTCAGTGTGATATGACAGAGCAATGGCTCTCAGGGTGGGGTCCCAGGCTAGCAGCACCAACATTACCTGGGAACTTATTACCGATGCAAGTTCTCAGGTTCTTGCAGACTTAACAAATCAGGGACTCTGGGATAGGGGCCTGCAGTGTGTGCATGTGGACCCTCTCCAGGTGATGTCAACACAAGCCGAAGCTGAGAGCCACCAGGATAGATAGTGTAGGTATTATCTGCCAACACTCTAACTGGCATCTATTGTTACTTAATAAACGTGATTAACTCTCATAGCATTCACCTGTAAGTCTGCTATTTACAGGTTATTATTTTATCCTGGTTTTACAGATGAAAAACTGAAGCACAGAGAAGCTAAATAAATTGCCAGGTTCACTCTCTTAGCTTGAGTTCCCTAGTAGCAAACCTTGAAACTAAATTCAAATGCACCTAGTATATTTGGGATGTGATTCCAGGGAACCCTGGTAGGGGAGTAGGAAGTGAGACTGAGAAGAAGGCAGCCCTAAAAGGGACATTACCGAGTAGGTTGCCTTTGGGCAACTGGAGCTTGGTGCAGCTGGGGACTCGGAGCCAGACTAGAACGCATGACTCAGAGTGCAGGCTTTAGGTGGCAAGCCTGGGGGATGGGGATCCACCATAGTCACACTGTTGGATTCCAATATGGGGACATCAGACTCTGGGTTGGTGTCTCTATGTGGAGAGCCCTCAGGAAGTGCCAAAGTTGTTGTTGGATGGTGACTGAGCTCAATCAGCTTCTCAGGATCCCTGTTACTACCCTGTTTGGACCTGTACCCTGCTGTTCTGGCTGTAATAAATGTGGTTGGAGCATAGAATCGCAAGGGACAGAATCTAGAAGGAGATAGGTGTCAGAACCTGGGTTAGGGAGGGCCACAAGTGCCAGGCCTAGGAGTTTGGCTTTATTTGAGCATGATGAGAAGATTCCAGGGAAGAGAAAGGAGCCCAAGTTGCCCTTCCCTTAGGAGGATGATGGGTAGGCCAGTCAAAAGAAGACAGGAGAGCAGTGGGCTCTTGTCTCTCTTGAGGAAGACTCTTTAGAAACCACCTCGGTCATAGCCTTGCTATAGGATTCCTCAGGAAAGCTTGCCTATAAAAGGGGGAAAAATGGGAAAGTGATGCTGCAGCTTATTTTACACAGGGACTATTTCTGTCAACTCCCTCTGACACACCAAAAAACTGGGTCTCTATGCAGATTTCAGCTGTGCCACTTACTTAGACTAAAGTGTGAATGACTGATAAACATCAATATGGATTTTTTGAGGGGAAGCCCTATAAAGGCACAAGTTTTGAAAACAGATCTGGGTTCCTCTCTTAGTATTGCCAGATATTCCCATGACCTCGGCAGATTTACCTTCCTTAATTCCTCTCTTCATTTCTATCACTGCATACTGACTGAGGACCCACTGCATGAGTCTTACGTGCTTGTCACTGTGCCCTTGAGCTCAGTCTGGTGGCAGAATCAGACATGCTTCCTAGTCACTCCAGCAGAGCATGTCTGAGATCTGCTAGAGGGATGTGCAAAGGGCATTTGCACTTCTTAGACAGAAGTGACCTTTATAACTGACCACCAGAAGGGAGGGCTCAGGATGACGCAGCTACAGCCCTGGGTGTGGAGTATGTATGTGTAAGAGAGATGGACTCTGCCTTCCTATAAGTTACCCCCAGGGACTTAAAGAACTAATGGAAGGAGCTCTAGTAAAAACTGGAGAGGTTATGGTTAGATGTAAGCAGGATGGATATTCAACTGTATAAACCAGTATGGTCTTATCAGTTGTTAAAATAGTGAAACACTTCCATGTGTGTTGATAAATGGTCACTGCTATGGGTCCTTTGTGTGCCCTTTATACTTTGTGCCTACCCAGTGAACTCCCCAAACCTTCCGTTATCCAGCAAGGAAAGAGTTAACATGATTCCAGTGCTGAATGGTGGCAGTTCTGAATGGTCAGTGCCCCCCATAGGTTGCTAAACATCTTGACTATGCCCCAGCATTTAAGGAAGAATTTGCTGCCCCTACACAATAGGAAAGCCAAGTATGGGGGAAGCCATGTCATGTGGTGACTGGAGGTCATCAGAGAACAGAGGAAGGCAAGTGCTGGCATGGAGACGCCTTACCCTCCTGGGGCTCTGTGGGTCCTGCATGGCCAGGCAGGCCATGCTAGTGGAGAGTAGCCCTCAACTTGGCCCTTGGGCCAGCGGTTGGGGCCGCAGACAAAGCAGGCATCTCTTTGTGGCCCGGGCAGCCCGCCATTCTCCTGAAAGGGGATCCTGTAAGGCGTGGAGGCTGCAGGAGGCTCCATCAATCACTGAGCATTTCATTATACCTTGGACAACATCCATAATGGAATAAAATGTCAGTAAGTTTACTAGGGGAAAAATAGTAACTTCTCCATAGCCAGTTTGTTTTTTATTGATAGTAATTTCCAAAGACATTCCAATATCTTCAAAGCCATCGTTAATAGCCTCACGGCATGTCCATTTTGATGTGCAAATGAACAGATGCAGAGTCACAGACAATAATGCAATGCCTCCATTTCAGCCGAAAGTAATAAATCCGCCTCAGAATGTGTCCCAGTGTATCCCTCGGAAGTTCTTTCTTTCCTGCACATTCTTGCCTCTGCCGTGGAGCTAGAAAAGCCATTTATTATGTTTCCAGATAAAAGAGCTTAACTCCTCCTCCCAAATGAAGGGGCCCTGTGTCTCAGACTCTGGGATGGGGCCAGCCAGGCATGGGCTTTTTCTCCACACTGGTCAGCTCCATCAAGCAGCCAGCTGGTAATAGGGTAGCCACTCTGCTCTTCAGAGGAAGTGAAGCCTGACTGCTTGAAACCATCCTTTTTCTCTCTTTTATTAATGTGTTAATTATTCAGCTAATATTTACTGATCCATCCATCACACATCCCAGGTTAGAATGTAGGATCAGAATAATAATAGCTGTTACTTATTCTAACATCTGTTATAGGCCAAGCATTGTTTTGTGTAGATATACATCTGTTATCTCATTGAATTTAATCTTCAAACAGCCTTATGATGTAAGTCGTGCTATCATCATTTTCATGATGAAGAATTTGAGTTTCAGGGAAGTAAAGTAAATTTAAACTGGTCATTATTAAGAATAAAAGCAATCATTACTGAGTATACTTACTACACACCAGGCCTTGTGTTTGGACATTTTACATGTGTTACCTTATGGAATTCTCATGAATACCCCCATGGAATTGGTACTATATCCCCATTTTACAGAGGTGAAAACAAAGGCTCAGGGAAAGGAAGCTGCACATCCCAAGTGGCATAGCTGGACAGTGGTGGAGATGGATTTGAACCTAAGTCAGCCTGCTTCCAAAGACTGTTTCCATCCATGGAAGCATGGGTACCTGCTTTCTCAGCCTTGTAAGGTTTTAAGCCCATAGACCTTTAGAAAATTGTAGTTAATTCTCATCTATGGTGATAAGTGTTTAACAGACGTGGAGATTGTGCTTTGGATGTTTAATTAGAAGCTATGAGGTTGGACAATTAAGTTCCTGAACTCATTCTAGAAAAAGTGCTACATGCCTCATTGGTGAATATCACTACAGTTGGCTAACGGGAGTACTTGGAAGGTGACCACAGTGATATTCAGCCATGAGGTGTGTAGCACTTTTTTTTAGGATGAATTGTATGATGACAGCTCTAGGGCCCTGAGATTGGTGCATTCCATAAGACTGTCCCCTCTTGGCATTTGGGCTTTCTCCTCCTACCTTTGCACCCTCAAGCATAACAGTATGGTTTTTAGGAGCTGTAGCCCACTATCACAGGTGCTGACACTGATGTGCCCAGCCCTAGGAAGTCACCTGGGGAAGTCACTTCTGCCGTGAGCACCCTGCAGTCATGTTGCAGAGACAAGACACACAGATACACAAGAGTTTGAACGACAGTTGTTGACAAGGGTTTGGCTAACAGACAAGTTTTTCAGAGGCACAACATAGGAAAAAATTCAGAGAAAGGGGAGGCCCTGACCACACTGGTCAGGGCTAGAGATTAAAGCCTCCAAGGACAGATGGGAAACAGAGGATAGCCTTAGTAGGACTCAGGGACAGGTCTAATTATGGGGCAGAAAAATGACCTTGAGCGCAGTGAGGCAGGAAGGGTGGCTGTATATCTTTAACAGTTGAGGAAATGAAGGCACAGACAGTTGAAGGGATTTAGAGGTCAGAGGTGGAATTCAGTACCATGTTCACAGACAGAAAAGTCACTGCCAGACTCAGAAGTGAATGGTCAGCAGACCCACTCGTCCAGAGTGCCCTGAAGGTGGCCTGAGCGGCTGCACTTGGCAGAAATAAAAACGAAGCTCCTCTGCCCTCAGGGAGCTGCCTCCTTTTGGAAGCCAGCAGTCTATCTGCTTGGGCACGATGCTTCCCAGAGACAGGCTAACTTCTGTAGAGGCTGCTGCATGCTCCGTAGGTGACATCAAGGAGCTCAGCGCAGAAATTCCTGGGGGAGAAGTGTCTTTATCACAGGTGCCCAATCCAGATCTCGGCACAGCTATTGTGGGTGCATATTCACAGCTTGGGGCCTGTGCAACGGTGTGTTTGCAAACTCCCAACATGCCGCTCCTTCAAAACACTGGTGCATGTGACATTTACATGCCTAATGCCGAGTCTGCACTGTGCTTATGTTCTCTGAGCTTCTCTGTGCATCTCTGAAAGACACCTCCCTCCCTTGGGACAAGGCAGGGCTGGTCCAGACCTCCACTGGTGCGTGTTGGGTTGGCTTTGCACTGCCTTTGCTTCATAGAGTCATGTCCCCCACTGTCCCCTTCTGGGAATGTCCCCAAGATGACCAGCCTAGAGGAGCCTGCACAGTCACTTGGTCCAGTTGATTTCTGCACAGAACACCTGTCACAGACTCTGTGAACATACTCCAGCAATGAGGGATTAATCCCTTCTAGGCCATCAGATATTTTTATTGAAATAGTTCTGATTTGAAAGACCTTTCTCAAATTGGATAAAAATTAGACATTCCCAAATGAATGTCTTCCCTCTAGGCCACGAGGAGGTAACAACCTGTCTCTGAGGACATGAACCTGGGAGGGCAGCAGTGGCAGGGAGGGCTGGAGACCAAGGGAGACAATTCAGCCATCTAGATTTGTGCTTTGGGGTGGCAAAAGAAAGAGGTGGTCAGGCCGACCCCAAGCTCCTGGCTGGGCTTTCAGGTAGCCAGTGGGTCATTAGCTAAGAAAAGGGTCAGAAAATGAATGAGAGAGAGGTGCCTAGATGCCCACTCGGCTGAGCACTGACGGGAATGTTGGATTGCAGCCCTCATGCCCTGAGCTTCTCTGAGAGAGGGCCTTGGCCAGGAACGGAGAGAGTCCCTTGCCTTTGCCTAAGACTGGGCCCATGACTGGGCCCCCTCCCTCTGTCTCCTGCGCCTCTGATCTCAGCCTTGCTTCCCTCACCGCAGGCACATATGTTGGATGTTTCAGTGATGACGGCCAGGAGAGGACTCTGAAAGGGGCTGTGTTTTACGACTTGAGAAAGATGACCGTCTCCCACTGTCAGGAAGCATGTGCCGAGCGGTAGGTGCTGCAGCCCTGGCCTGCTGACCCCACCAACGATGGTCAGGAAACAGTCCCAGAGGGAGGTGGCACCTGGCTGCCAGGTGACTGTCACAGCACAATTAGACCTCAGTGATCAGATCCCACTTCTCCAGAAAAAAGAACATTTGTTTGCAGGTAGTGTGGCTGCTGGGCTGGTGTCAGCTGTGGCTTCTAGTCCAGCTATACCAGGGACTTGCTGTGTGACTCTGGTGGGTTATTTTCCTTTCCTGTTTAAAAAAAATAAAGATTTTATTTCTCTGAGGTCCTTTCTAGCTCTGCTAAAAGAACTATTTCTAGCTTGTGTCTGTTAACAGGATTTGCTTTTTCTGATACTGCCAGCTCACCCAGTCGGTACTGGACACTTGTCACATGCCAGGGAATGGTCCCTAATGTCCAGGTAGTCACCCTTCACTGTTGTGGGTATTTGTTCATGAGCACACATGTGCGTGTGAGAGAGGTGAATAAAACAGAATCACAGATCGGCCTCTCCATTCATTCCTAACACTCTAGGTTCTTTCATCTTTGGTAGGTCATCACACTCTGCAGGTAGCAGTTCACTGTCCCCATTTTAACAATAGAGAAGCTGAGGCCAGAGCTAGAAATGGCAAGGCCCTTACTAGATAAAGCTGAAACTCAGGCAACGTGATTTCATGTTAGTGTCCTAGCTGTTAGGGGAACTGAGACTCAAGAGACAGTAAGTGATACTCAGAGCCCCACTTTCTAGTGGCCAAATGGGGGACTAGAGGCTTGTGTCAATGTGGCCTTTTTACAACTCAATCCACTGATGAGAAGGGAGTGTAAAGATGTAGAGTTATTATAGGTTCAATTTCCAGTCTTTTCTTAACCTATGGTATTAACCACTGGGTAAAAGCAGGTAAAGAAGTGGCTGTGGATTTAGGGAACAAGACACTGCCCATGGCAGCCTCTGTAGCCCATGGAGGGGTGGGGCTGGAGCTCACGCTGGCTCTCAGGGGCAAACAGATATATTTTTGGAACTGCTGTGAGCTGTTACAAAACTGTTGGGAACTTGAAATCTTCTATAATGGGAGTATTTACACCACAGAAATTGGCAATTGCTGTAACTTAGGGCTCTCCCCATCCCATACTGAGAGTCCATTTCCCAGCACAGCATTGATTTAGAGCCAAGCTAACCTGTAACTGTGGATGGCACCCAGGGGCAAAGCTCAGGGCTGACAAGAGAGACCAATGGAGCTGGTGAGTTTATCACAAAGGAAACACCATTACCTTGATTCAACCAGATGACATTTAAGTCTGCCTGGAGGCTGATGCCTCAGGCCAGCCTTATGCTGATGGCTGTGGCCCCTAGGTTACACTCTAAGCCCAGCTTAAAGTCCAGCCCTCACCCTGACCCCCAGACCCAGCTGCCCTTGCGTGACCCAGATGACATTTAAGTCTGCCTGGAGGCTGATGCCTCAGGCCAGCCTTATGCTGATGGCTCTGGCCCCTAGGTTACACTCTAAGCCCAGCTTAAAGTCCAACCCTCACGCTGACCCCCAGACCCAGCTGCCCTTGCCTGACCCAGATTTTGCATTTAGGACCCTAGCACTTCCTCTGGGCCAAGATCAGGACTCACCCAGGCCCTGTCTTCCTGCAGGTCCTATATCTATGCTGGCTTGGAGGCTGGTGCGGAGTGCTACTGCGGGAACCGGCTCCCTGCCGTGAGTGTCAGGCCGAAGGAGTGTAATCATCAATGCAAGGGGGAGAAGGGCTCCGTGTGTGGGGCCGTCAACCGGCTCTCTGTGTACCGCGTGGATGAGATGCAGCTGGGCCCCAAGAAGCGTGAGTGTGCCAGCCTTGCCCTCAGCTCTGCCCTTCCTCTGCTCTCCAGTTGCCCCTTAACCAAGCCCCGGGTCTGAACTGTGGAGGGCAGAACCTGTGCTCCGCCTTCCCTACCACCTTTACTGGGCAGCTCCTGGTGTGGTGGGGCTAGAGCCCATCAGAGGCACCATGGCTTGGGTTCATGACTGAGGGACATCTTCCCTTGCCCCGTGTAGGAAAGAGGAACTGATGAGGAAGCCTGGGTATCCCTGGGACGTCCAGCCCCCTTCCCTTCTCCGGTTCCAGTCTGTTTTGTAAACCGCACAGGTAGACCTCGATTTCTAACAATGGAGTGGACCAGATAATCTGCAAGTTCCCTAGCTATAAAACACCTAGGATCATTTTAAACACATAGCTGAATAAGCAGGAAAGTAAGGCAGTCCCTGGGTCCAGAAACAAAGAGGCAAGGACTAACCCCAGTGGAGAGAGTTAGAGGTGATGGTTCCACATCTCAACAGAGGGAAATTGCCACTGGGTGGCCATGAGGTTTAGGTTTCAATGACCAAACAGGATAAGGAAGGAGGCCACGGGCCTCTCAGGGCAGTAAACTGAATAAAACTTCTGTATAAAGTGGGATTCAAATCAGTGAAAGTTAGATTAAAAGAACAACTCATCAGTTCAGGGAGGTAGAAACAAAGCTTGTCTGTTTTGACCTGAGCTTTAGATTAAAAAAAAAAAAAAATTCTTCCCAAGAATTTATAACCACAGGCCTTCATCTGTATGAATTTTGGGATTCCAGTTTGTATTATCTGGCTGAGAACTCCAACATAAATTTGACCGTGGCCCATCGGGAAGTACCTGATGAAGGCAGATGCCAGATCCCTCTTGAGAGCTGTGCCATCAGCCTAGGTGTGAAGGGCTCTCATAGGTGAATTCTCACTGAGCACTGAACTTGCAGTTCAGAATGATGGAACTCAGGAGGAAATAATCAACCATGAGGGAGAGTAAGCTGATGCATCAGACAGCAGAATTGGACCCTTCAGAATTCCAACTAAGTTTCATCAGATAGAGATGATAACTGCAGGGGTCCAGCTATGAGTTTGAAACTCAGGTTTGTCCTCCCTGCAAGATGATGAGCCCAGATCTACTAGTTACAGAAGGCTCCTTCATAAAATAATAAGGTTGCATACTTTTCACACACGTTAGGAGGGAGCAGGCTGGGAAGAAGTCAGAGCAGGGGAAGAGACCTCCCCTGCCACTGGCAAGGTTGGGACAGCAGTGATGGAGGCACAGAAACCATGCCTATCCAGATGTTTGTTCTTGGGGGACCCAATCATGCCATGAGATAAGAAAGAGTTTAGTGAGCCCAGCACCAGCCATCACCTCGGCCTGGATGCCAAAGGGCAAGGCAGGCGTGTGATGGTAAAGAGATGCAGCCCACCAGGGATGGAATGTGGGTGCACACTGCTCCTTTCTACAACTCCAGGAGCTGGGCTGCAGGTAGGCAAGGAAAGGGAGGGTCTCTGAATCCATGACGGCAGAGCCAGTCACCGCCAGGACCTAGACTTCAACTCAACACCCAACACCCTAAGCCCCAGCTGTTTCCTTGCCTCAAGCTTCTCTCTTGTGTCTGACCTAATAGTTCATGCCCTGGTGTGTAGACCACTGGTGCTGTGGTCATTGCAGATCTGGGCTTCCAGATCTGGGCTTTGGTCCTGCTTGGCAGATTATGGCAGAGGCTTCCTGCTGTCCCCAGGTAAGATGGTAGGTGGAGAGAGCTGGGGGAGATCCGAGTCCTGGGAGACCTGGTATTGAAAGAAGTATGATCCTGTCTACAGAAACTCAGGCAAATCTGGAAGAAACAGGAGCAGTTGCTGCTGGAACATTCCAGGGGTTTGTTTAGCACCAAGGCAGCCAGCTGGGGAGCTAGACTTCTCCACCGGAAGGTCTGAAGAACAGCTCAGCAGGAGGCTTCCTTTGTAACACAGGCTTGAGGAGTGTTCCTAGAATTTGAGTGGGAGTTCAGCATCAGAGAGAGGCCAACCTTGCAAAGAAGCAAGGCAGTGGCCTGACTCCGATGGCACAGTAAGAGAGAAGATTGCCACATCTACTTTTCCTTTAATACATGTTCTGGGAGAATATAATATTTTCCAGAATATCAGCCTCTCAAGTCACCTGCTGGGGAATCTGGCACATAGTATAATAAATGCATAATTCATATTCGTCGAAAGAAGGGAGGACGCCACACCTAGACAGCTGGCAGGAGAAGCAAGACCTGAGCTTGGCAGTTTCAGCCAAGTGGTCCCTTGCTGGAGACCTGGAGTGATCAATGTCCTGTTGTCTGGCTTCTCTTAAGAGCTTGGGTTGATTGCTTCCTCCCCAGGGCAGTTTTCCTCCCTGCTTTGAAATCTGCCCTTCCTGGGATCCAAAGCCAGGATCCAAAGTATTTTCCCCTGTGACAGGTACCAACACCTGGGGATATCACTTCTCACCAGAAGCCCATTTCCTTCCCCACAGGGCGGACTGCCACCTACAGAGGCTGCTTCCGACTGCCAGAGAACATCACACACGCCTTCCCCGACTCCCTGACACAGATTAATGCAACCGTGGAGACATGCTCAGGATTTTGTTCCCAGAAAGTAAGACCTATGATGATTTCACAACCCTTCTTTTAACAATCCAGTGTGCATGGTGGTCCCCAGAGAGGGGTGAGCGCCTGTGCTGGGCTGGGGGTGTCCGCTCTGGCAGCCCGGGTGGGAACTGAGGATGGAGGTATGGGAGGGAGGCAGACCACATGCCAGACCTTACAGAGGGTGCCAGAAAGAGCCTGATGCCTGTGTCAGTGGTTCAAGGCTGGGTGGGGAGTTGTCAGCAAAGGCTATAAAGCTGAAAGGAGCGTGTAAAATGTTGGCACAAGTATCAGATATTAAATTGACTTGGTTTGGAAGCAAGAAGATGCTGGCTGGGGACTTGGGGATAGCTGATGGATTTTCTGTTACTTACGCTGACAGTGTCAAGCTGTGAATCTGACTACAGGGCTGCAGTTGCACCTGCACCTTTGGTACCACCTGGGCTGAGGAGTGGAGTGTGACTCCATGCAGGGCTGGGCTGGGCACTAAAGGCCACTGACCCTGCCTTGCCCACTGACTCTGGGGTAAAGTTGGTCAAGGCCAGATGGGACTTGCAAAAGGCTGGGGCTGGGAGTGTGTGAAGTGAGGCTGGGGAGACCAGGACACTGAGTCCAAGAGGTCTCCAGCAGGAGGTGAGCAGTCTGCAGAGGGATGGGTGCTGTGTCTCTAGGAAGGGCCCTCAGTTGCTATAGGCCGGGGGCTGGGGCTCTTCCCTACGTGCTGGGCTGCAGTAGCCCGGACATGGCTGTGGTACTCAACAGCATAATAGAACAAGACTATAAGGAGAGAGCAGGGCCTGGGAAGGTGGTGGTGATGGTGGTGGTGGCAGTGACGTTTATCAACAGGAGCTAATATTTGTTTACCATTTATTCCGTGTCTGGTACTGTTCCAAGCCATTTACATGTGTTGATTCATTTAATCCTCATTAACAATCCATCATGAGAGGTGCCATGATGTCTGCATTTTTCGAGTGAGGAAACTGAGGCAGAGATCTTGAGCTGTCTGCTCCAGGTCACACAGCCACACACAAAGTGGTGGAACTGGGATGTGAACTCAGCTGGCTTCGTAGCCTGCCAGGGGTGTGCAAGGCACAGGGCTGGGTGGGCTTCAGTGACAGCAGATGTGATCAGACCTGAGGAGCCAGCACATGCTCTGTGGTCCCCCACGTCGCCTTCTCCTGCTTCCTGTGCTCCTCGGCTCTCTGGGATGCTTCCCTTCAGGGGAGTAGAGAACAAAGCGTTTCGTACGTGCTTTCTTCTTGCCCAAGTGCATCCTTTGAAGTGGCTCTTCTGCGTCACCAGCATTTCCGAAGACACTGCCAAGGATGTCAGGGTTCCCACAACAGAATGCAGGGAGCCAAAAAGACAGTGTATTGATTTGTAGACATCTGGCCTGGGGACTTCTTCCTCTCTTCCCCTCGTTGGGAGCAGAGCTCTGAGTAGAGGCATCAGGGATGCTCGATCAACCACCAGGCCCCACTTGCATGCATGGGGAACCAGCTGCCTCCCAGGGCTTTCCTCACACCTGCTGCTCAGAGCAATTCCCTGCCCAGACCCCCTCATCAGAATCAGAGGAACTGCGCTGGTCCAGACCAGGCTGAAGGCAGGCCACCCTTGGTCAGCAAACTTGGAGGAGTCCTGCTGTGCTGGGGGGGGGGTTGGGGGTGGAAGGCTTCCCCAGGGTTGTCTGATTTAATCCTCCCAGCGGCTCCCAGAGGGGAGATACCCAGATCTCTGTTCTCTCCAAGAGGAGAGCTAGAGCAGATTTGCAGAGCTGAGAACCTTCACATGCAGGCAGAGTGACCACCTTCACAGACTGGTCCTGACACCTGTGCTTTATTCCCTGCTGCCCTGTCATGTGTCGGGGTGTGGGGAAGGGACAGAAGAGATGAGAAGAGAGAAGAGGAAAGGAAAGGCATGTGCCCCTAGAGATTCATAGTAGCTTTGAGTGGACAATGTATTTACATGGAGCACAGTAAAAAGATATGAGGCAGCACACAGGGGAAGTCTTCCTCTCACTCCCAGTCTTTTCTGCCCATTTTCCTTTCGTGGAGACAGCTAATAGTCCTAGCTTCTTGTGTCCCTTTCCAGACAGACTCTGAATATTAAAGCGATCGCATCCTTGTCCGATCTGATATGAGCCCCCCAGACAGTAATGAGCCACACACTCGGCTGTGCTGCGCTCTTCGCCAGACCGTCTCTCTCAGTTTGTCCCACATCTATATGAAAAGTGCTTTCTCATCCTGTTTTCCCATTACACAGATGTCCTATAATTTATTTAACCAGTTTCCTACTGTTAAGCATTTAGGTTGTTTTCAGGCTTTTGCTTTTACAAACAAGGTTGCAATGACTTAACTACTCTTATAGGCATGTAACGTGAATCCGTAAGAAGAAAATCCCTCAGAGAGATACAGGATGAAGGAATGTCTGTCATTTTGGTGAACTTTGTCAGGTTGCTTTTGGCAAAGGTTATACTAATGTTACAGCCGCATCAATGAGGTGGGAGGAGAAACAGGCCACCCGGTAATCTTTTTGTATTCAGGGCGGGGGTTGGGGGAAGTGATTCGAAGAAGAACTAGGTCCCGTATTTTGGGTGCCTCCTCTTGGGCAGCACATTAGGGCCCAGAGAGTTGTGCCTCGAGGTCACAGATTAGAATAAAACTCTTCAACTTCTCTTTTCAGCCTTTCTTCATATTTACTGGTGCAAATCCAGGTGGCTGCAATTTCACATCGGTGCATGTGCTAGATGCTAACTGTAGGCTCCTGGTGTCTGTGCCGTTTTGCCCCTTAGCACTTTGGCCATTTCCCCTCCTGATGTGATGAGGACAGGTCACCTGCTCAGCCCTGGTTAATCCAGCTGTGCACTGTTGAGGTCAGAGAACAGGGGGAGGGCACCCGGGGTTCTCAGAGCTTACAGCTGGAATCTGTGCTGACACTTGTTTCTTGTCCTGGCTGCTCTGTATTGTCGGATGGGGCAGGGAGGGGGGGTTTCCTCCAGTCCCATTGTTGAGAGTTGTAGAATTCTGCAGCTGTGAGACACAGTCACATTTCCAGCATGAAAGTTGAAAGCAGGTCTTGGCAGAACATATGTAGTGGGATTTGTAAAACTCATATGCCAACACTTACAGTGGATAGAGCATGTGTGGGGAGCCTCTGACACATGGCAGAGTGAGGTCAGTGCCCAAGGAGGGTAAAGAAAGCTTGGAGGGAGGCTGAGGAAGGCAGAGGGTTGCAACCTTGGGGAAAGGTTGGAGCTGGAGGCTTCGGGGCGGTGTTGCCAGGCAGCTGCAGGGAGTGTACCACAAGGGGGACAGTGGCTGAGCAGGAAGGGGGTGGCGGAAAAGCAGCCCAGGTGGCCCAGAGTGGCGGGTGACTTGGGGTGTTGTGAAAGGTCAGGTGGGGACAAATTGCAGAGGGCCTTGGATGCCTGCCTCTTTTCCATGGTAGACAGGGGTGGTATTTCTGGCGCTCTGTATCTGCAGGGGGTAGGATCTGAAACTGGGAGAGTGTGAGAGCCAATAAAGGAGGGGGAGATGAGGGGATATAGGGACATGAAGAGGTGGGAACCACCAGGAGAAGAGTGAGGCATGAGTGGGGCAGGGGTGGAGGAGAAGATCTGACTGGCCAGGCTCCCTCCTGGGATGTGGCATGCCTCAGAACCACCCTTGGAGATGCCTTGGCAAGGCTGCCTGGGAAGTCGGCCTGTGACCTGGTTCTGGAGTTAGGGATTCCAGGTGGGGCAGGAAGGATGCCCTGATGTCATACATCCAGCTAAGGCCACCATCTGCCCAACAGTGAGTCTTTTATTCCCAGACCAGCCGTCTGTTTCCCGTTGGCGTGCCCTTGGATGTTGGTATAAGTTGGACTTGAGCCTTCTGTGCTGTCAGCCCCTCAGCTGTGCAGGTGCCTAGTGGGGGCTTTGCTGGAAACCTGACTTCTCCTTAGAGCAGAGTGTCTCAGCCTGGGAACTGTTGACATTTCAAGTTAGATAATACTTTGTTTTAGGATCCATTTGTACACTGCAGACTGTTTAGCCACATCCCTGGCTTCTACCTGCTAATTGCCAGTAGTACCTCTGCCCCACCGTCCTTTGCTGTAACAACTCAGACTGTCTCCAGACATTGCAAAGTTGAGGTGCAATGCGAAAAACATTGCCCCTGGAGGGCAAAATTGTCCCTGCTTGAGGACCATGGCCCTAGAGAGCCTGTGTCAACACAATGGGCAGCAGTGCCCAGGCAGAGCCACATTTCACGTGGGTCCGAATCCAGGTGAGCTGTGGTCAACTATTTGGTGAGGATGGAGAAGCAAATTCTGCACTTAGGTGTGGAGGATGTGAAATCCTCTGGAAGTTTATCTGACCCAGGCCTGCAGAGGCCAGGGATGTACTTGCAGGGGACGGTTTCCTCCCTTCTCTCCTGAACATTGAGAGTGGTGAGAGGTGAATTCGGGGATGTCTGGCTGTACTTTTCCTACTCTAAAGTGCCAGACACGTCCTCTCTGGAAAGGCGGGTATTGCCACTGCAGGACCCTCCCAGTGGCAGCTTTATCTCATTCTAATTTGCCTGAAAAACAAGCTCAAATGTCCTCTGATGTGGGAATGGTTAAATTATGCCACAGCCATACAGTGGACTATAATACAGCTATTGAAAATGTTTTCAAAGACTTACGATGGAAAATGCTCACAGTCGAATGTTAAATGGGGCAGAGCTGAGCCTGAGGGTGACGGGCGAGGGGCTTAATTAGGGCTGGCTGGGCAGAGGGGCGAGAGCAGCAGATGTGAGAGGTGGGGCTTGGAAACAGGAAAAGAGAGGAGGTTTCCTGCAGCATCCCCACTTTTGAGCACCATCTGAGGCTTATTTGTGGCCCCAGATAAAAATCTCTCCCTGTTTTTTGCTAGTTAATGAAAATGGATTTGGGGAGCTCCAAGAGTGTAGTTTGAATAGAAGAAGAACATTTTGGGCAATATCAGCATCTTAATGATCTGATTGTCTGCCAGCAAGAGGGACTTGA